TTCAGTTAAGAGTTGCCGTGGTATCCGCTACAAGGAGTAAGTAAATAAAACACAATTTCTAATTAATATAAATGTTTATTTACGATTTTTATGGAAACCAACATACCGCGATGGTGATTCTGCAAATTTCCTATTTCGTGGCAATAAACCAGTGTTGTCAAAACAAACTGCAAAACAAAACAAACCGACAAAGTAAAAGCAGCTTGTTGAGCTTTTTAACGAAAGCTCGGCCTGCGTTGCCATTACGTTTGCGGATTAAACATTTTCTCTTTACGGATGCAGATTGCTAGTCATTCACTCAAGCATTATTGAGTAAAGCGATCAAAACTTCTCCCCTTATTTTTTTTTTAGTGCAAAATATCATCTTTCTAATGCCATCTAGAGTAATCCAATTGCGCTTATTAATTCAACACTGCGTATACGCAACCTAATTTTGCACGCGAGATTCTTTATAAATGCTTTGTAACCGCTGAAGTGAATTTCGACCGAGCTAAGTCTTATTTACATTCAAAGAGTTTGGAGAATTGCCTATTCTCTATGCAGAAGTATATACTATTCGTGCTTTCACTTTCCACGCTAAATGGTGCATGGCTTGTAGAATGTTTAACTTTCGATTTGCTCTGATATTTGTATTTTCGAATTGATAACAATATTTTTATCTATAAGGCAAAAAAAAACTTTGTTATTAATTCCAGATGTCACTTAAAAGTAATTTTAAAGAAATTTTAAAGAATAGAATTGTAATTAAATTGTGCATATATGCATTTTACCTCAAGCAAACACATCCAATGCATTCCAGGAGTAACGGTGGAAATGCGTGTGACACCTGTCGGTAGTACAATACATGCGGAGCAACAAAGGCAACAGCGTCAACGGCGGGACGAGAGAGGGGCAGCTTTCATACCATTTGCGGCGCGGTAGTGTTTATTTTGGCGCTCATGCAAAGTATAACGAGCACAACAACAGCGTATATCACGTATTTTTCCTGCAACTACTCAAGGGTGACAACTGCAACAAAACAAAATTGTCAAATGTCAGCGTGTATGTCAGCAATGAAATTTATTTTTTTTTTCACAAAAGGGAGCAATTTTTTTAATTTTTTTTTTCAACCATTTCTTTGCTGACAACTGATGCGCCGTTGTATTGCGGACGTTCACGCCGACAGTCTCATGAAAAAGGCAAAACTGAAGTGGCAGCCAGTGAAACAAAGAGGCTATAAACTGAGACGACATACACCAAACGCCGGCTGGGACGTAGAACATTGGCAACAACAACAGACGTGTAAAAGTGACTAAAGGAGAACAAAGAGAAAAAGCGGGAAAAGTGAAACAATTTAACGTCGAGAACTAAACAATTCAAACCACTTGAAACGCGAAAGTAAGCCAGACTAGGCTGCAACGAAAGCTAAACAAAAGTAACTGGCTGGTTGACTGCCTGGCAAATTGTGAAATGAATAAATTGAAAAAATAGCCGCCAGCACAGCCAAGTGTGTCGTTTTACATGTCGCGTTGGTCGGTGGCCAAGACAATATGTCAGCAAGCAGTGGCGTTTCCTCGACAAAGCAAAAAATTCAACAAAAGCGACAATCACCTTTTTTAATTCATAATAACAAAATGCATATACTTTATATTTTAATTAATTATGTAGAGATGAAAATATTTAGCGAGTTATTTTGCAAATTAATTATCAACTAAATTTACCGTTTATCGCTTTATTTTTTGGCAACTTATTATTCTCTAATCAACTTCAACTAAACAGCTTTAAGCTCTTGTTCAGCTGTGCCAACACAAAAACGCACGAGCCCGTTGAAAAAATATTTTCCTGTTTTACTTTCCACCCACAACAACCTCGCTGTGGTCATTCCGGTCACACATACATATCTACAAGAGCTTGAAATCGTGTATATGTGCAGACAGGTTTTAGTTTCAGGCACGTATATGCATGCATAGTTATCTCAGACAAACATACATACTCTTACAAGTTATATGGCCAGAGTTAAGAGCAAAAAGGTAACGTATACGCCTAGTCATGCCTGGTAAATGCAGACTTTCCTCTACAATTTCGTTGTGAAGTGCCATAAAAATTTCAACAGTTGATTTTCATGCTGGATTTAGCTTAAAAAATTCAACTGAAATGAAACTTAAGCAAGCGTAAATGAACCACGAAACCGTTTGAGTTTGCTGCCATGATTTGTTTTTGGGTTCACTATTGTGTAGTATTTTGTTGTGAGGTAAGGAAAAATGGAAATTTTACAGGTATTTAAAAACATATTAACATTTATTTAAGAGAGGCTTGATATAAAGTAAAGACAAGTGGCCTACACTTTTATTAAAATCGTAAATTTCTAAATTTAAAGTGAAGTTGTTAATACCTTGAACATTCACTTGTTTTCCGTAAAACGAACTCACAGCGCAATGGTTTATCTGGTCCTAGATCTACCCTTATCAAAAGTTAATCTCTCTCAAACGGGCTCCTACCATTATCAACTTTCACTTATCAAACATAAAGAGAAAAAAAGCAACGTGACCCTTTTTATTGATTTATGATTACTTATTTTATTTCATCTTATTTTTTTATTTTATTTCATCTTATTTTTTTATTTTATTTTATTTCATTTTATTTTATTTTATTTTATTTTATTGTATTTTATTTTATTTTATTTATTTTAATTTTTTTAATTTAATTTATTTTATTTTATTTTATTTTTCTATTTTTTTAATTCTTCAGGAAAGCATGAGAAATCAAAACCTTCTACTCAACATATTGATATCTTGTTAGAAAGAGTTTAAAAAACAAGCGATTCAAATTGATCATCGCTCTCTCAAATTTTCGAAAAGGAAATTTCTTAGCATTTATTGCTTATGCTTTGTTCCATTTTACATTCCAAACAAAGTCCTTGTTTCCATGAACTTTTAATTTCATTAGCAAATCAAATAAAGTTAGATGTTTTCTTGTTATTTTGTAAGCGCATCATTCCGAACACATCCAGGTCAATTCAACTCAAATTCAATTCAGCAATACAAATCGCTTTAATCAGAGCTCGATGGCACTTTCGTTCTTGCTATAACTAAAATTATCTAAACAAATAAAGACTGGAAGTGAAAAAAGCGGAAAGAATATATATTATATCGAGTAGGACAGCAGAGTGGCATAGTGCAATCAAGCGCACATGCAAATGGTAAAGAAGGAACGTCAAAACGTCAAAATTTTATCGTCCCATGATACAACCCCGCACACACTTATCCACGACGTGCCACCTTCAACGCTTGGCCTCGTTAAGCGCCCAAATATTTACTCAATCAATTTTTCGCTGCATACATTCGCCGACAATTGCACCGCTGCTCCGCTTCTCGCCATTGTTGGTGGTTTCTGTCGCTTACTTACTCCCCACTTTTTCGGTTCATCAATTACAGTTATTGCGCTAAATTCAGTATGCGTCGCGTTCATCGTTTTGCTTTTTTGCCAATAATTTCAGTTTTTTATTGGTTTGTTTTGTGTGCTTTTTCGGTTTCATTTTGTATTCTTATTTTGTATTCTTCGATTTTCCTTGCTGCTTATTTACATGTCTCCACTTGCTTCACTGGCTTCACTTTTTTCTCTCATCCGCCCGCTTTTCTAATTTGTAGGTGGAACTTCTTCTCAATTTATCAGCAGTTCGCTTGCTGCTTTTATTTATTTATAGCACATCTTGTCGCGTTGTTGTTGCTACAGTCTTTGAATTTTACTGCTATCGAATTGTTGCTAAATTTATGTTACTGTCCTTTAGCGCTTTAAATTTACTTACATATAAGAGGGTATGGAATTATTTCTTGGGGCATTCAGTGCCATTCGTTGACGAAAGGTCGTATTTGTTGCAGTAAACATTAAAGCCAAACTCTAAAATAATATGAAAAATTCTCGAATTGAGCGTAGAAAAGTTGCTTTTTACTGAATACATGTGAGTGAGCTTGCGTGAGTTGATAAATTTCTTAAATATTCGGTACCGAGTCAAGAGGCAAGGCAAAGCTAAAGCTCCGAATTCCCTTCAATATCCGGCCTTTCTGAAATTCTCGAAAACATCACATGAATGTACGCTATCACCTGAATTCTCACATGTCAGGCCTGCAGCACCAGTTGCAAAAATTCATCGGCACGACCTTTTTCGTTTTACGTTATCATCCACTTTTCATCACCTGTCACCATCCAATTCACAAATGACTCGATTTTGTTACAACTCAGTTGCGACCCGAGATGGAAATTCGACCTACGCAGTTTTTCTAGTTAACTCTTGGGGAACTAATACATCGAACTTCTTTCATCATCCAGCCTTCATCAAGTCATTCCCAATTTTAGCTCCTGGGCAATGGAAATAGTGATTGCATGATGGTCGATTTCGGTGATTTCCATAATTTTATCAACATTTTCGACAATTGACCTTCTACACTAATTCTCCAACTAATTATCGGAACGAAATCGACGAAGCCACAATTGTTCATGATTGACTGTTACGGCTTGGGGAGCATAAGCACTATATATATAATATGTACTTTTAGCTGCCTGGCTTGCGTTTTCGTATTTTTCAAAGAAAAATTATAGAATTTCGTACATTCATTTAACCCATTAACGAGGTATTTTACATATATGTAACACGAGTTTACTGTTTGAGTTTTTAAGACGAAAAAAAGTAAATTGAATTAACTTCATGCTTGTACAAGAGCAAATATCCTTGAGCTTTGATTGTTTTATGTCGTTGATAGGTCACTTTAAACAAGCAAGTAAAGCAAAGCAGCGGCTTATAGTTCCAACTCTTATGTGAAGTTAAAAAATAATACAGAAAATGGAAAACAGTGGATGGTAAGTCTTGTGTTGTCCGTGTTTGTGTGATTAAAACTGTTAAGTTTTTTATACAGCGATAACATAAGTAGACGGAGGTACATATATGTAGCATCATTCCAAATACCAAATAGTTATGCATTATCATTTGGATTACCTTGAATTCGTTTTTCTTCTATTTTTTCTAGAAAACTTTGTCTCCAAAAGATGCGATGCTGTTTCTCGAAGCGCTCGATTCAGATGGTGAGGAAGAGTAAAGAGTCCAATTTATAATGGTGTTCCAGAAGAGGAGATCAAAGCATTTATGACAGATGTTGTATACAGTTCACTAAAAAATACAAACCGGAGCCTTTTGAAGTAACCAGTCTCAGCCTCAACAGCTCAACACTCTCGTTTTATGTGCTCGAAAAAAACAACGGCACTTATTCACTGCAAGCAGTGCCATTCGAATCGCGAACAGTTAACGCACAAAACACCCACGAAGAATAAAAGTGCGAGGACATAAAAGAGCATACATTCATATAGAAGAAAGAACGGGTGCTAGATTTGCACTTCCAGATCCCCATTACACTGATTGCAGCACTTCATGGACACATCATGACCACCGCCAGCTGTGAGACATATCAAGGAAACAGTTCGCACACAAACCCTGATTATCCACCAAAATCTGGCAAAAGTGCATCTCCTATAAAGGAACTATCTTTTGCTTTTGACTTTGACAACTTATTTACCTCAATAGGAATGTTTTTAGCACTGAAACAGCAGGGTTGCTATGGTACCGGAACGCTTAGAGAAAACATGTTGCCAAAATCATGTTCATTACCTAACAAAATAATTTTGAAAAATAAAGAGCGTAGCTTTGTAATCACTAAAAAATTGCAAGTGCAAATATATATATGTAACTAAATAAGTCGATAATTCGAAATTATATACTGCAAAGAATTTAGAAACCCAAAAACTCAAGCAGAAGTTCAGCGTTCCCGTAATGATCGTCACAACATCTTTAATCCTGTTATAACAGCTGACGAACGGCGTTAACAATGTAATCTCCGTTTATGCTTTAAATGTCTCGCTTTACCATATCCGGCGTGTTGTTGCATGCATGTAATAGGCGGCTCCATCCAACCTGGCTGAAATTGCGCTCTCTCTCGCTCTTTTACAGTTGAATTTCCATTTCCTGGTCTTCTCTGGTTATCCTTTTTGGTATCAGCTACCTAACGCTATCTAGTGCAATTCAAATCGAGAGATTACTAATATTCATTGACATTGAAATAACCTTTTAAAATTTGTTTTGGAATTAACAATAAATTACAGCAACAACAACTAAACGTTTATGGGACAAAAGTTTTCAAATAAACCATATTATATACCAACTGGACGATAGAAATATTGAAAGAAAAAATGTAAGACAAACACATGGTCAGCGGTCAGCAGTCAGCGGTCAGCTCGCGCCTCAATAAACCGCCGAGTAGTGAATAAAAGTGGGGTCACGCTTGTAAAACGCCCTTGGCAACAGAGTGCAGCAAATCGTTATGAAACCGGAAATATTATAATAAAAACGTATGCTTGTTTACAAAACAACAACAACAACAACAACAAAAACGAAAACGTAATACGCAAAACAAATCGCAAACAATAAAAACAGCGAGGGAATTGCATGTTGAGCGCACAAACTCTTTTATTTTTATTGTATTGCACGTGGCGATGCAACAGTGCATCATAGCCAAACAGCCGACGTGGCGTGGCATTGAGTCGTGCCAATCGTGCCAATCGTGCCAACAGTGGCAGCAACAGCCGCGGCAGCAGCAGTGGTGACAGCAGCAACCGGATGTTGAGTGCAATTTGACGCTTCCGCTTGTTGCGGAAATACGCAAAAGTAGAGCTGCGAAAGTGGTAACTCGGTAGCAAACGGTAGGTGGATGCAACGGAAGAAGGTGCGTGTGCTGTATGGAGGCTTTTGCTAAAATTATTTAAATGCACTTGGCTACATGTAAGCACACCTGCGCACACACACATACACTTAGGAGCGGTGAGGCAAATATGCGTAGTTTCAAATATTTTTTATTAAATGAAATTGCAGCCAAAGCGTACATTGTTAAGTGCAGCAGCAACAATTTTGTTTTGCAAATTAATATTTAATTTTCAACTCAGCTGCCCCCTCGAAGGCTTTGCTTTCGTCGACTTTCAAAATTTTCGCTAAATGTTTTGTGGACTAATTTCGTTTTATTTATTAAATCAAAATAATTTCGCGAATAGTTGGTTTTCCTCTCAATTTGTTTACATTAATTTTCATTTGGCATATGTTTAGCATGTACATACACGCGCACGCATTTATTTGTCATTGTATGCATTTCATATTTATTAATTTATGCGCTCACATGCATTCAGCGAAATTCCGCGGTCAATGGTCGTGATTTTGAAACAAAAAAATCTCCATGCTTTTCGTAACCTAATGTCACAATGACACTGAACGTTTAGATTGGATTCCATTATTCGTAGTTATGTAATGCTATGCATTCATGATTTGGCTGTTTGGTCTTTTGTTCAGCAGCAATAAATGGAGACCATAATAAATATGCCTGATGAGTGCCCGAGTAATATTCAATTAATTCAGTTTATTCAATATTTGTCAAATATTTGTGACAGACACATTTTATTTCCAAACAACAACAAAACACGTACGCAAATATATTAAAATATATTTAGAACAGAAAATATTATTTGTAGTAATCGGTTTAAGTTGAGATCTAAAAATAATTCAAAATATATTAAATCTTGCAAAAAATACCAGCATTTTGCATAAAAACGTGTAAATCCATTAAAATTATTTCCTACAATTTGTAGGACCAGAAATTTTCGCAGCCGCCAAGATATTGCTAAACTCTTAACTAAGTAGCACTGGATTCATTTTTAAAGTAAGTAAAGTATGGATATTTCAAAGATTTATTTGAAACATATTATTAATATTTTTCGTTTATTTTCAGAAAAATTTCTTATATTTTTTAAACAAAAATTGAGCTTTCAGCTGTCGCTGTAAAGAGCTGTATGATGTAATCCTTCGATGTAGTTGATTTCTGGTGATAATATTTATTTTTATTGCGCGTTCGAAATACCATATTTCATGCTTTTATTTGTGGCCTAAATTTTTAAACCTGAAAACTCGGTCCTATATATATAAAACTGAACGAATTAATCAGACGAATAGGCAAGCAGACAGACAGTCAAGCAACCAATCAGGCAGACACAGTCAGACGAACAGACAGAAATCAGTTGATCTTTTCAAATTTTATTTAGTAAATCTCTTCTCCTTCCGGTGCTTAGATATTTCAGACCAAAGTTGATATATCATTTCATCTTCAATAAAAAAATTTTAATTAAATTATATTAGGAGCTTCCTCTGAAAGGACTTATTATCCGCGACATGGATTCACATATTTTGGAATGCAAAGCCATCGCTAAAAGAAGGCATGAAAGGGCTTTTTCGAGCTGTACAATAACGACGGATTTATTGCCACCCTATGCGAGTTTTGCCCACACAGCTGCACATACACACTTTCAGAAAGTCTTTACGTCGAACGTGATGCCTCGGGAAACTCCGCGCAGAAACGTTGATTTAAAGCTAACACATGGTCACCAATGTGCTAAGAATTTTGGATAAAAGCGTGCTATTTTGAGAAGGTGATATTTTTTTATTACACTAAGCGGCAACAGTATCTGAAACAGAATCAGAAACCGTTAGTCAAATCAATCCTTCTAATAACTAATTTTTTTCAAAGGATTTAAGCAAAAGGAATAAAAATTTTAAATGTAAATATGTATGAGAAGTAAATATGTAAATAAATAAAAAGAATAGAGTATTGCAGCTAAATGTCGTCTCACAGTTCCCGTATACCACGTTGCCGATGAATGCTCTCAGAGAGCAGTAGTGCAAGTCGAGTAGAAAACCGCTCGGCAGTCTGATGTGATTGCTGCTTTTCGACGTCGAACTTTCCCTTTATTTGTTAGAAGCGGTCTTCGATTTTATAAAAATATAAATAAATAGTATAAAGTTTTCACTAAGCCAAAATTATTATTGTTAAATCTGTGTTTAAATTTGGAAGATGCCAACACTCAAGCAATTGTTGCATGCCTCTAAAAAAAAAAGTAGACATAGACTTTCTGGGGAAATAAGGCAATGCTTAACGAAACTAAAAATAAGTAGAGCAGCTAGAGGCAGACCAAATTTCAATAAAAAAAAGTAATAGTTAGAGGCACGCAAGCTTTTTATTTCCTCTGTTCAAAATGTTTGCTTTTTTGCTGGGCAAAATAACGAGAATCCAAATTTATTTTCCAATATAGGACTCAGTATAATTCACTCGGCGAGGACCAACGAACTCTCAATTGTCAATTCAATTAGGCAAGTTGCGTAACCCAAACGCCACAGTGGTGACCCTTAACTACCAAGTTATCGCTAAGATGTGGAGAGCACCCAAATCTGCGCACACGAACAGAGTTCAACTGAAAATGGAACTAAGCCCACTGTTACTGACGAACTGGCATATGCATAACCAACTGGTATGATGTCATCTTCAAAAGACTGGTGTTTTCGTCCCAGTCTTTTCTGCTGCTTGCATGGTTACTCTAAGTTATCCGCAAAAACTTTGGAACATAAAATTAAACAGAAAACAGCCCAAGTAAAAGGAAATTTACTAAAGAGAGGCCAAATTCCTGAAACATAAATATTCAAGGCAGATTTTAAAAACCTTTTCGGATATTAATTTTAGAAAACTTCCGTCTAAGTAAATCAATATTCTAATAATGGGTTTTCCTATTAAATTCACCGTATTCCGCCTCTAATGCAATCAAGAAATTTCCATAGCGAAGGAAAGCTTAAGGAAGTCGCCCATTAGCAATACAAGCATCAACCCATTGACTGATATTAAAGCAACACAAACAACAGAAATTGCGAGATTCGCCGTTATGAAATCGAGGAAAGTGAGAAATACGAAAATGCTGCGTCAATTGTAATGCGTGCAGCGCACATCCAAACAAACGGTTACGCAGACAGCTCGTGAGCCGCCAATCTGTGTGTGCATGTGTTTGTGTGCTTTTACAAAAAGCTACAAGCCGTTTAAATGATGCTGCCAACAACGTCGAAGAGCGTGCTGCTGAACATTGCGGAAGCTGCTTAAAATCTGTTGTTGTTGTTATTGTTGATGTTATGTGCTCCTAAAGTACACAAGCGAATCCGTTCGAAAGCGTCGCCGCCACTAAGCGTACATGTTACAAAACAACACGCAACAGACATATACGCGGCGTGGCGTATACATATGTACATGCCCCTATGTATAGGAAAACATCATTGCAATAGGCAAACTGGTGTACAAGTTAAACGACAGCAACTACAACTACAATGATAAAATGCAAAACACATACATTTCAGCCGCAAATCGTACACAACGCAGCAACGAATCTAAAGCTTTCCTGCTGATGTGTCTCAAAATGCGTGCCATGTGCGTCGATAAGCGAGCGTTGATGCTTTTCATTAGGGTGCTCAATGAAAAAACCTTGAAAAAACCCCAACTGAAATGTTTATTAAATTCGTTTATACCTAAATTGAACAATTTGTAGTGTTATTTGTTAGAGAATTGTCGGAAATAGATCGTAGTCACTTTGGGCGCGGGCCGTATGGTAAGTTGGATTCATAACATTCTTTCTGAAGAGTTTCTGAAGAGTCACAATCGATTTTTGTGGTCTGGCTAATATCGATGAAACATATTTCTCCTCCTTTTATCTATGCATGGACGGTACTTGGCGGTTTCTCCCTTCAGACAATCCAATTGCTGCCAGTGCAGGTCCAATTAAAGGTTCTAACGTAGTTGGCGATTCCTTGCCAGCCCCACAGCAAAAGTTCATGCCTTCGACCATGACAATTTTCATTTGATTTTCCTGTAAGTCATCTATCTTTCGTCAGGAGTCATCATCTGGTTCAGAATATTATATAATATAATATAATTCTTATTTTCGTACGTTTCCGCCTGATGAACAACTTTTTTCTTGACCTAATATTTAATTTGTTTATATTGAGTACATGACAATATTCCGTTTTCTCCAAAAAAATATTCTCTAAGCCAGCCTATTGCGTAGGAAAATTTAGATCGGGCGCTGGATATATTTGTTTTCTCCCATTCTGTTGTTATACATACATACGTACATATGTTAGTGGCTGCTGATGACAGAGGCATTGATTGTGTCGACGACATTCATCTCTTTCTGCTCTTCCGCTTTGCATATACTCCGCACTTCTTCTCTCCACGCACACCCATGTATCAAGTTGCGACTTTGAGTAGATTTACTTCAGCGAAATTGCCAGGATTAAGAATAAATGGATATTTTATTGTGTAGTCGTGTTGTTACTGCTTAGTGGCATTTATATTTATATTGTATATATAAAAAAATGTATATACCTATATTCTATAAAGTTTTATTTACACATATGTACATATGGGAAAACAATGAGTATGTGTTTATGTGTATGAATGTATGTCATTGTATGATTTTATTTTGTTTCGATTTTATTTTTATCGCTGCAATGGGATTTGCATGCCACATAAT